ATCTTAAAATCAACAAAAACCAAATAAATTTATAAACTAAACGTATTTGTTTGAAGTAATATTACAATGTTTAAATCATCTTATTCTTTGTACTCCAAAATATTTCCTTCAGTCGTTTACGATATGACATAGTCCATGTACCGCTTGGACCGTCTATAGAATACGACTTCCTGGTGATCAACACTTCTAGGAACAAACACAAAAACACCCTACAATCCCCTCTATTATCAATTTGTTGTGGTACTTGTGGCGCCTTTTCGAGGGTCATGTTGAAACTCTCAAGTGAGACTGAATCACTTGGTTCGGTACCCCAGTAGTTGATACCCACTAATAGTCTGTGGATGCGGGCTCGCATATCGATAAACCAATTCTCGGTTTCTGAAAATAGCCGCTCTTCCAATGACTCGTATATTGTCATTTGGAAAGTCTTCAAATTCAAAGCACCCAAAAATGCAGTGAGCAATTGGTATATTGATTGGGATGTAAAGCTACAAAAAATGTTAGAAATAATTAAACATCAAATAACATTTTGTTACATACATACTTAGGTAATGTAATCGAAACACAATTATACCGTATCACAGTCTGCCCAAGCTGGGTAAACGGATCCGTCATGCATGTCACTCCAATCAAATGCATTAGTGTTGAAAGTTGTCGGTACAACCGTCCACCGAGCGTCATCCTATCTACGCTCCACCACCAGTGAGATCCACAACATGACGTGTTGTTAATAAAAATATTTGCAGTTAAGTTTTGTTAGTAGAAGCGTAGTACATAAATGACCAAGCTAATAATGTAATAATGTAACTTACATCACATTCCAACCACCCTGCGTGACTATCCACATATAAGTGCGTCCAAAATTCAATTGCCAGATTACCAGCTAAAAACGGTGACTGAACAACACCGAATCATCCAGTTGTTTATAAAGAGTGTGTATGGCAGGTTCTAAGAGATTGTCAAACGACGTTGGATGATGTCGTAAAACATATTTCCTTTTCATTTGTATCCATGGGGACTATATCATATGAACATTACTTTTTTCCGCATAGAACACCGAAGTACTTGCGGGGGCGTTTTGTATTCATCCAACGAAATCTCTTTTATATCCGACGAATGAATAAATGGAGACGGATGCTCAGGATCGTCATGCAACAGGTTTTCGGGTGTGCCTGACCCGTAATCGTGGTCCCACAAGTCATTGTCATTGTACTTTGTGCTACCATAATCGTCTCCGGGAGTCTTATTGATAATTTTATAACCATGACTAAAGTATTGTCATGCTCTGCTAAACGCTACTACTGTGACCTCAACTGCTTGTGACATTCACTGAGCTCATTTTTCAATTGGTGGACCTCGTTTTGCAAGTCACTAGTAATTTGGTCCTTGTCAGTTGATGGGTCAACGGCCGGCTGTGGTGGTGGTGGCAGGTGAGATAGATTATCTATTCGTGCCTTCTTTTGTCGAGGCTTATGGGTAGGGGGTTTTGGGTGATGGTGTAAGGGAAGGTGCCCTGTCAATTTCAGTTTCGGTAAAATCAGTGCCATCAATCCACGCCGTGCTAACTATCCACCATTCATCACGCATCTCATCTTCTGTCGGCTCCAACTTCTGTACGAGTCTATTATCCTGCTAACAAAATTACAAACTTATAGATAAACATAAATTATAAAATAAATAAATATTTAAATAATAAAGTAACCATACGTCGTTGATTTGTAAAAACTTGTTGCATTCATGTTTTTTTAAATCCCGCGGTTCTGACCATGCAACAGCCCGAGGGATCACATGCTGTTGTCAGGTACCAAACAAACTACTCACCGAAAAAGTCTCAAGAATCCATATCTGAATATTAGCAAACAAATAAATAAAAAATTGTTAGAATATTAGCAAACAAAAATAATTAATAAAATTTTCATCATATACTTGTTGGGTTTTGTGTACTATAACACTCCTATGGTGCACATACAACCCTAATAGCTTTGGATCTAAGTTTTCTCTAGTTATACATGCAATAAAATTCCAAAGCATGAAGCCTACAACTAGCATACAATTTTGACATATAAATCATAAAATCAAGTTAGAAGAATACCTCCTTATTGTAGCTTGTAGTTTTGGCCTTTCAAGAGCTTAACACCTCAAGTGTGATGCCTCAAATGGTTCACAAACACCATGAACAAAGGAGGACTTTGAGAGAGAGTATGGAGCACGCTAAAATCGGTTATGGCTCTTAGAATACTTAGGGCTCCCGATTTTGGCTAAGGGATAACTCATATAGAATGTAGGATTCCAAGAGTCATGGGTAAACCCTAATCCATACACTTAGGTTATGATCCATATCTCATGTGGGCTAACTCTTCATGGATACTTACACAAACTTAGCCCCGACATGGATCAATAGCCCAAACACTATATATATCACTAATTTACATAATCAGTCCCCGTTAATTTAATTAGTCTCTTTTGATCACTAAATTAATTCCAAATTAATTCTTGATCAATACTAATTAAATAATATGATTTCACAATTAATATATTATACTTGTAATATATTAATAAATCATAAATAACCCCTTTCTCAATTATCCATCCTATCAGATTGTTCTGGTGAAGGCAACCCAAATGGACCATGCTACTCTTGAGTTAAGTACATACCAATTATAGTTATGGGCTTAGACACCTAATCCAACAATACTTACCTTAAAAGCGTATAAAAACCCCTCTAGGGTGTAGGTTATTTTTTTGAGGTTACTTTTCTTTCGGTTCGACTACATGTATATGCTTGTCAACCTTATTGAATACATTTTCTAGCTGCGAGTACAATTGATCCCAAATTATCCTCCCCCATGGATATATGCCACATAAAAAGTTAATTAACAATTAAAATTATAAAAAATATTATTAACAATAAGCAATTATAATAAGTAATTATAAAATAGACAACATTATACATGTTGAATTCATCAAGCTTGGATCGCAAATTGAAATACTCTTCTGTAACATGCTGTTTAGGCAACCTCCCATTGAAACCCTTCTCTAACAGGTATAGAAGATATATACGGACTGCATCCTCGTTTGATAACTTATTAAGTGAATGCTTAAACACCTTAATAATATCGTCTAATTTGGGCATGACGTTTCGTGGGACCAAAGGAAAGGCACGGGAATGGAAGGCGGTGTCGAATGCAGAAGCATGTAAATAGTCACAAAACCAGAAGCCGGTGATGAGAAAAAATTATTTCTTACTTAACGACAACTCATAACCCCCA